AGAGGAAGACTGTTCCAGATGTTAGTGGCTCTCACAGAGAGAGCATTCTGACCAAAAGTTGTTCTTCTGTGAGGAACCTCACAGTCTCCTCTGGAGGAGGCCCTGCTTCTCAGGCCACTTGAAGTCTTGGGTTTGAACAGAGTAGAGACAGGAGGTGGGGCTAGTCCATGCAGCGCTTTATAAATGAAGCATACATACTTAAAATATATAAAATTTTCAAATTTAAAAGATTGTACTTGTTCAAAATATTACATACATGGAAATAATTAGGTTTTTGGTCAAACACTTTCAGAGATTTTTTTGTACAGTGATTCAATTAATTTTAAATTGAAGTCTGAGGTAGGTTCAAGTCTGAATCCAGCACTATGCCTAGATTTGGGGCCTGATCAGTGGTTACTAGCTGAGTAGAGGTCAGCTGATCAGGTCAGTTTTCATTAAATAACAACTGATGTCCCATATTTAGAAAAATAATACGAGAGATTAAAACTCATTAATATCAGGTAAAAAATGTAACCAGAAATGAAGAAGAACGGTTGGAGATGTTGCTCTGAGTGGTTCTGACTTTCTGAGGCATAAATATTTATTTTCTCACTGATTTCATAATAACAGGAACTGTGCCCTGGACTCACCACAGTCCTTCCACTTGTGTTGCAGGCTCTCAGGGACTGGGTGGCAATCGAAAGTGACTCGAGCAACATTCATAAAAGACCAGAGCTGCACCGTATGATGGAGAAGGTGGCTGAGAAGCTGCGACTGATGGGAGGGACCGTGGAACTGGTGGACATCGGAGAGCAAGAGGTTGGTAACCAGAACTCCGGTTGAAGTGACATTTCACCACGCTGGCTGCAGCCCATGGATTGAACCCGTTCCACGAAGAAAAAGACATTTCCAGAGTCAGATATGGCTAAAAGCTTAAGCAGTACTCTCACTCAGACTGAAGCCTTTCTGCAGATGGAAGTTTCCATCTAGCAGTGAACCGATATCCAATCGTTATCCAGTATTTTGATGAAACACCTTATAAGAGCAGAAAGCTTTGTGTAACCTTTATCACGATTTGGTGATAGAGAAACAGGCACTAAGTGATTTGTAACAATAAAAGGACCAGTAACAGAAGATGCTCAGCCTTAAGAGGCTGTGGATTGACCTCAGTAATGACAGACAACAGTGACTGAGTTGCTATATTAACAGTTTCTTTGAACAAGAACGGCTTCACATACAAAAATCCATTTAAATTCAAACAGTATAAATGTATATGAAAAAATACAAAAAAAAAATAGAAATAAAGCTGGCAAGAGTTGTTAGTAAGAATAAAACAAACAGTCCTTTTGCTCATTGGGGCCATTTTTACCTTGAGTCTGTGATATATTGGTACCAGAACCAGTGTCAGAAATCAGTGTTCATCAGTCCCACCTCACACCCTGTGAGGGAAGGGAGATGAGACTGCATCAAATCAAAGGTCACGGTTCAGTTGGCTCGCCACCCAGCTCACACTGGGAATGTGTGCATGCAGGGGATGAACATCCACTGCAGATTCAACTCAACCCTAACCCTCCAATCTGGGATGGATGTGACTCCAAATCCACTGATATCACTGAAAAATCTGGGTAAGAAAAAACCCTGACCTATGGATTGGCCAGAAGAAAGTCCATTAGTTCTATTTTCCTTCCCCACTCCATAGATCACCAATCAATAGCATTTCGCCTCATATCAATTGGTTTGAAAATCATTTCCTTAACAGCTTAGTCCTACGACAAAAATATCAATTATCAAACCTAAAGCGCTCATAGTAGACAACTATAAGTAATTACATTCTTCTCTCACATTAACACTTAACCTCAAGTAGTCAAGTTATTATCTTTCAAATTGCTAATGAACATAAAGTAAAGAGGAACCTTTGTGCTAAAACAATAAATACAGAGACATTCACAGTGATTTAGAGGACATAAGGCTCATCGTGCTTTACCATCCCCTCCTGCACCGGTTAGGGTTAGGGTTAGGTTAGGGTTAGGGTTAGTTGGGAATGCAATAAAAGTTTACCCTTAAATCACCTAAATAAAAGATACGTAACTGGTGCTTTAGCACCTTTTTCCACACATATAAGAAAATATCTTTCAGAAAATTAACATGAACTAATAATTAGATTCTCTTATAAACTCTAGTGAAAACAAATGCATTTATAACAAAGGAAAGAAAGAGCATGCTGCACATTTAGCACCAATTTCCATGGTAACAGATTAGCCAAGGTCTACTTAGCAAGGTTAGCATCTTTGCACAGCACTGAGCTAATGCTACAGCTGTTTCATCAGCTGTTACCATTTATAGCACAATTAGTATCATACAGGTAACTGATCCAATCTCAGGGTTTCACTCACCGTTGAATTAGTCTCTAAACCATTTCACCTGTTTGCAGCCGTTAGCTGCTGATGACGCTACTCTACAACAATATAAACATCATCACATGCTTAAAACCCTCAATAATATGTCAGAGTACGTTTGCTCCTTACCATATTTATTAATTGTTGGTGTTTGTTTTAAACTTTTTAATTAAATAAAATCTGTAATACAATTAATTTAAACAATTATTTATCTGAGCTCCTGTTAGTTTTAACAAAAGATTACTTGATTTTAAAAGAAAACTGAACTTTGAAGGTCAGGTTACGTTTGCATCATCTCTCACTGAAACACAATCTTTGTCTGAATGAGGTTTTGCATTTACTGGTGAAAATTGCACCAGATTTGGAGGAATCTGAGGCCCTTTGCTCCTCAGCTGCCAGAAGCAGGTTCCTCTCTAAACACCCAGCTCTTCAGAAGCTGTTCCCAGATGCTTGTCTCCCAGCTGTCCCTGCATCCTCCCCCACTTCCCCCTCTTACCTGCACAGTGTTTCCAAACCTTTCCATGTGGTTGTCCCTGCAGCTTCCAAACGGGCAGATGTTAGCCCTGCCCAACGTAGTGACGGCGCGGTTTGGGAGCGACCCTGGCAAGCACACGGTGTGCGTCTACGGTCATGTGGATGTCCAGCCGGCGAAGCTGGAGGACGGCTGGGCTACGGATCCCTACAACCTCACAGATATCCAAGGTAACACCTTCCAACACACTTTGATGTTTCCATATGATGAGAGAAATATGTTTCCAGAGAAGAAAAATCTTATCAGAAAAGTTGAACCTTCTTCTTTTTTTTCTAAAAGCAATTGAAGAAACGTTTTTTAAAGGCTATTTTTTCTAAATCTTTGTTTTACCAATAGTAGCATTGAAGTAAAACCACAGACCTTCTTGAAATTACCTGGTTTCCAACAATCATTCCTTCATTTCTGAACAATGAGGTGCAAACAGTGTGTTTGTTGCTGATGGTATACAGTTATTATTTATAAATAATATCGAATGAATTCCAACATTATGGCTGCTTCTCCAACGTTCGCACAATAATTTAGACCCGGTGGAGAAATAACTGGAAAACAATCTAAATATGGATGCTTGGATTGTTCTTATTTGTACTTATGAGGTTATTTATTAATATTTTAGTTATAAAAGCTGAATAAAGTCATTATGAAACTTCAACGGTTATTGACTTCAAACGTCAGAGAATAATAGAAACCTTTGATTTAGACTGAATCTACTTTACCGCTGCTGAAAGGAAAAGAAGAATCTAGTCTTTTCTTTTCTGCCCTAAAAGGAAAGTTAAAAAAAAGACAATTTTTCTTGTTTAAGAATGTTCTGATTAATGTAGTTTCATTTATAAAAGATTAAAATTTGACCTAAAACATTGTAGTAAAAACTTTTCTCCATCCGTCCAGATTTGTTCCTATCCAGATTTTTTTTCTCATTTGCCATTCCAGGTTTCCATACAATCATCAAAGAAAGCGCCCAAATTTATGGATGCTTGAAATGATAAACTTTTATCCAAAACAGATATTTTGATGTGTCTTGTGTCAGAATTGACTGATTGAACATGAAAAATGAAACATATCTCCATAATGATGAATTTATTGGGATAATATGGAGTTTATCTTTCAATTTTCTCTGGAAGGATTTGATTCCAAATGGTTTTATGAAAACGTATTTTTCTCCCTGTAGGGAATCTATATGGAAGAGGAACGTCAGACAACAAGGCTCCAGTTTTAGCCTGGATTCACGCTGTGAAGGCGTACCAAGCCCTCAGCATGGTGAGAAAAATCACCGGATGTTTTAGGTCATTTTCATCACAGAGTTTTTTACTCTCACTGTTGAACTCTACTAACGTCTGGAGCAGGATTTGCCAGTAAACGTGAAGTTCCTGATTGAGGGCATGGAGGAGACCGGCTCTAACGGCCTGGATGCCATGATCCTGGCCCAGAACCACACCTTCTTCTCCGATGTGGACTACATCATCATCTCTGACTGTGGCTGGCTGAGCAGACGACCCGCCCTCACCTACGGCACCAGAGGGAACTGCTACTTCTATGCTGAGGTCTGTTCACAGAGCCGTTTGAATTATCCTGCATCTCTCTTTCTGAGACTTTCTGCTTCTTGTGTTGTTCTGCAGGTTGAAGGTTCGAGGCAGGACTTACACTCTGGTGTTTATGGAGGAACGGTGATCGAACCCATGACTGACCTTATTGGCATTCTCGGTGGGTCTAAGAGGTCAACCAAAGTTAGCTTAGGTGATGGTGATCATGTCCCATCCAAACAGTTGGACCTTTAAAAACACATTAGTCTCAGACAGACTTTATTTTTTACACTGAGCTTTAAAACAGTGAAATGAACATTCCCATTTATAAAGTGCCGCAGTGATCAGAATGTAAACAGAGAAAGAGAAAAGAAAAAAGAAGAGAAAATTAATATGGTTCAAAATGAATAGAACATTCAGTTGAGTTCAATTTAAATGGGTTATGGAAAAATCAGCCACATTGGTCGTAAAACTATCTTGTTTATAAGTGAGATGCAGAGTCTAGATTAGAGATTTCAATGAGAGGGGGGAAGAAGCTGCTGCAGAACCTGCTGGTCCTGCATTGAATGCTGGGAAGCCTCTTCCCAGAGGGCAGCAGGGAGAACAGTCCATGGTGGGGGGGTGAGGGGTCATTGATGATGTCACGGGCTCGGGACACGCAGCGCTGGGATGAAATGTCTTTGATGGAGGGAAGAGGAGCCCCCATGATCCTCTCTGCTGTTCTCACCTTCTTCCAGTCTGAGGCGCTGCAGCCTCCACACCACACAGTGAGACAGCTGCTCAGAACGCTCTCTATGGAGCTTCTGGAGAAGGTGGGGAGGATGGGTGGTATGAAATAAGAAATCAGCTAAGACAGAGAATGTAAAGTAAATAATCTGATCTGGTTACCAGCTGGAAAGATGGTTTTGACTCTGTCAAAAATAGCTCAGTCGTTCTTCAGCTTTATTATCCCGTTAAACTCACATCCAGCTTTATTCTGATCACACGTTTAGATGAACCTTAGTTCAAGATGCTGCAGAGGGAGGACAGGTTAGCAACAATCTACAGCTACAAAGGACCGGGAGGCGATGATACCCTGAAGACAGAACTGAAAGAGGAAAACCACAGCAGTAGGTCGACCATTCAGGCCTAACCCATAAATAGCATCACTATCTCACTGCACGGACAAGCAGACGCTCTGCTGAACCAGAGGTTCCAGAATAAACTATTAGACATGGAGTTCTGCTCCTGCTCTGGGCATATCGCAGAGAGATAATCTGGGAGAGATTACCGACTGACTGACCGCGCCTGGACTTCTGCTCAATCCTCTGCTGCTTCATCTCCTCCTCCAGTAGCTCTGTTTATGGAGTGAAGCGTTTCCATGGCAACTTATTGTCGAGTCTTAGGATGGTGGTTTGTATTTTTGATTCCCTTTCAGTTTTGGGCCCTAACCCTAGATGCCCGCCTATAATACAAGGGCCTCACAGCCAAGTTAATGGGAGGCTGAACTATTGGCCTGTCAGACGATGATTGGCCCAAACTGTGTAGCTTCCATTAAACAACAACTGCTTCCAGGAGACGGAGGGACTTCAGATGGAAATGAGAGGAGATTCTTTATTACTCCTCATCAGTGCGGGGGGGATAGCAGAGTCAGACTCGATGCACAGAAGCTAATCCATGTTTTCTGGGATGTGATCAAATAAAATCCATCTGGGAGACGGTGTCTGAAACCATAGAGAGAATTCTGACTCAAACTAGACCAAAGGATCCTGGATGGTTTTCTTCCTGCATATATGATGCAGCAAAAATGATAAATATCGGTTTGAAATATTCACCATTGCAGCCAAAAAGGCAGAATGACAAAGACGTGGCTTCGACTGGAAGCTCCGCCCATAAACCAGCTGCTGGGGATGACTCAGCAAATTAATAATAAACTAAAACTTTCCTGTTGTTTTCGACTCAAATCAAGAGACTGCAGGAACCACTGCTATTAGATGCTGTGACTAACCCCTCTCTGTTCCCATGAATCCATCTGTGAAAGCTCCGCCCCTTTTTCTTTTCATGTCTTCCCTTTTCTGCCGTTTTGTAAATTTCTATTCTTCTTCATCAAATAAAAGAATAACAATAAAAAATAATGATAATAACTCAGCAGAAAATGTTTCCCTCATATTGTGTCTTACTCCTACATCTGAAACTCATGATCTTGATTTGAATGAATAGATCCTTTGCATGAGGCAAACCTCTGATGAAAATATCATTAAATTACTTTTCTAGCTTGTCAAGTAATCCTTTAACAAACCAACTTTCTTCCTCAATCAGCAGATCGAGTCTTTGGGCGAAGCATGTCTCTTCTTTTATGTGATACACAGGTGTTTTTATCTAATGCTGAAGTTATTATTATTCACTAACGCCACCCGCTGGTTTAGAGGGAACTGCTTTTTCTGCTTAGTGTCTCTGTTTCGATGCTAAAAAATCCTTCAAAAAAATTCCTCTGTCCAGGTTATGATCCGGATCATCACCAAAGTTTAATGGATTGTTCTTTGGCATGAGGCGCACCTCTGTTCTGATTTTGATTAAAATCCATTCATGCATTTTCAAGAGATTTTACCAACTAATCAACAAGCAAACAAACCAAATAATAAAAATCAGTTAAAGTCACTGAAATCTATCGGACCTCAGACTCATCATTAGAACCTTTTATACTAGAGAATGCAAGGAGAACCATCTTCCACAGGATGGAGAAAACAACAAACAGTTGTTGGTCCCCACAAGTACTATGAGTCTCCAAAATGTAGCATATTCCTAGGAAATTGTCCCCACCAGGTATTAAAGACATGGCCACACACACACACACACAGACACCTGTTGTGTCACATGATGCTTGTGGGGACTTTCTATTATTTTAATTTCTCATTCATTTCTATGTTCTCATCCAGACCTGAACCTAAACGCAGTTATCACCTAACCCTCACTCTAATGGAAGAACTTCTTCTCATGGAGACCAGTCATTGGTCCCAAAATACCTATAAGTCCCCAAAACATGGCCTAGTTATGGGAAAGCCTGACCTGCAAATCCTGAGAAAAACCTTCAGTCAGCTGATTAGGGAGCTGCTTCTGCAGTCATTGATCACAGGTCTTTCTTTAGTTCATGTTTGGTGTAAAGAGCAGAAGAAATGAGTAAACAACAGCAAACTGTTTGGTATGAACCCTGCAGACACACTGATCAGCCCCAGTGGGAAGATTCTGATCCCGGGGATCCGGGAAGCAGTGGCTCCGCTGTCGGATGAAGAGTGGAAGATGTATCAGGATATCGAGTTTGACGTGGATCACTACAAGAACAAGATCGGCGTCGGCCAGCTCATGTACAACAACAAGGTAGGAAAAGGGTAACTCTGAACGTTTTCAGCCGACCCAATGACTGGCTGTGTCTGCGCTGCTACTCCACAGGTGGACCTGCTGGCCCATAGGTGGCGCTACCCCACTGTTTCCATCCACGGTATTGAGGGAGCCTTTTCTGACCCTGGAACTAAGACCGTCATCCCTGCTAAAGTCACGGCTAAGTTCTCCATAAGACAAGTCCCAGACATGGACCCGGCCACAGTCAAGAAGCAGGTAACATAGAAGCTGCAGTCCTGGTTTTTCTACAGTCTTTCTTATTGCTGTATTGTTTTGGGGCTTCAGGTAACAGACTACCTTCAGTCTGTGTTTGCCAAGAGGAGGAGTCCTAACAAGCTGACGGTTACCATGGTGATTGGGGCCAAGCCCTGGCTGGCTGACACTCAGCATCCACTCTATGAGGCTGGAAAGGCAGCTATCAAGAGGGGTAGGAGAGCAACGTCAGCCCACAGCACTACCCTTACACCCTTTACCTTTGAGACATTTCTAATGGAACAAAACTAAAGATGGTAGATCTGTGGGAGACGGCACCGTGTATGAAAATGAATTTTTCATGTCTTCATATTCAAAAACAGGGAAATAATGTCTAAACTGCCGGCAGTAGGAACAGCCGGAGTCATGTGACCCATTGCAAGGTTTTAAAGGAGAGTTCCTGCGCTGCATTTGGTGTCACCACCATTTTTTTTCTGGGTCATACAAGTTTCACACGACCAGCATGATTCATGCAGGCATACAAGATCCATACAAGCACAGCACGATTCACACAAGCATACTGTCATGTTCGGCTGAACGTATTTAGCCCACATGCAAAACACACACGGCAACAGGGATCAGTTAACTGTTTATTGAGAGAGATAATGGAAGCAACGGAGTCGACGGGGAAGCAACAGCACCGGGACCCGTTCAACTTCACCGGACGCAGGAACCTAACCGGGGGAGGACAGAGCGGACTCAGGCTCTGATCCATGGAGCTGGAGGCGGGTGTCTCAGTGACAGGTGGGGCTTGGGCTTGAGGGTGACAGAGCTGCGCTTACTTTACAAAGATCCAGGGAAGCAGGAGAAACCAGAGTGGCTCGAAGCACCTTGCTTGGAGCCGGGAGAAAGGGAGGACCCTGTGGGAACTCAGAACCTGGAGTCAGCACGAGTGGGACCCTCTG